TGCAAACCCCATCCGCTGCATCACCCCCTCCAAAAACTTCCATTCCACCCTGTCATAGGCTTTCGCCATATCGATCTTTGCCACAAAAAAACTATGTTTACGTCTCTTGCTCTTCTTCATGGTATGGAAGCATTCGAAGGCCGCCATGACATTATCTGTTATAAACCTCCCTGGGACAAAGGCGCTCTGCTCCGGGGATATATGATCTTATCCAACAAAATGTTAAGTCGATTAGCCAGGACTTTCGAAATGATCTTATACAGCACGTTGCATAGACTGATGGAGCGGTATTCTTTTGGGGACTCTGGTTTCTTCGTTTTTGGGATTAGGGCAATGAGGGTATGGTTAAGACCCTCAGGCATCACCCCTGTCTCCAATATCTTTAGGATTGCCAGCATAACTTCCTCGCCAATCACATGCCAGTACCTGCGAAAGAAAAGAACTGTGAACCCATCCGGTCCTGGAGCTTTTCGCTTCCCCATTTGCCTAAGAGCTCCAAAGATTTCCTCCCTAGTGAGCGGCTGGAGAAGGCGAGCATTATCTTCATCAGTCACCTGCCTAGGGATGGAGTCAAGAACATGCCAATCGTGCGGTTCCACTCCAACAGTGAACAAACCCGCGTAATAATTCACCATGCACTGCGAAACTTCATCTTGACCCACAAACCGTCGCCCTGCATCATCTTTCACTTTCCTGATGGTGTTCCTTTTTCGCCTAGCAGTAGCTTTCCGATGAAAATAATTGGTATTCTTATCCCCACCTCTCAACCAATCAGCCCTTGACAGCTGCTTCCAATACTGTTCCTCATTATCCAACACCTCGGCCAACTCATTTTCCAGCTGGCGGCACTGTGCAAGTACTTCCTCGGTTTTATGCCTCCTCTCGAGGGCCCGAATCGCGCGGGTAATGTGGGATTTTTGTTTGGAAAACGATGGAAAGACCCTTTCACTCCACTCCGTCAGTTGCATGCGGCAGTGAGTAAGCTTGGCTAGGACGTTCTGGCCTCCTGAGTTGCACCACACTTCCTCAATCATCTTCAAACAATCATCATATTTCGACCAAAGTGGCTCGAATCGAAATGCACGACCCCATTTTACCTCTATATCCTCCGATCCTCGAGTATCACAGAAAATTGGACGGTGATCTGAGTTCGCCCTATCCCAGTGCTGAACATGATTGTTTGGGAAGAGCTCCCTCCACTTGTCGTTCGCCACAAACCGATATAGTCTTTCCTCGATGTAGCCATCTACATGACGAAGGTTCTCCCATGTATATGGGTAACCATGGAAGCCTAAATCTTGGAGGCCAGTGTCAGTTAAACACTCGCCAAACATACTCATCTCTGGCTCATGCACGCACCTGCCTCCATTCTTCTCATCCGTGCTAAGGATCTGATTAAAATCGCCCTCACTCACCCATGGGCCATCCCATTGCTGGCCAAGTCGCCTTAGAAGGTCCCAAGTCATCCACTTATCACTTCCTTTAGGCCAGCCATAAATCCCAGTAAACCGCCATTTATCAGCCCCTTCCTCCTCTACTGTGACATCAATGTAGTTAAAGAAAAGTCCATTCGTGTTATCGTCGGGTCCTCTACCCACCAAATACTTACTCTGCCTGCTCTGTTCCTAGCGGTAATTGCCGCCGGCCAACACTCTCCCTTCTTGAAACCACACAACTCCCGTAATGCTGCATTTTCATCCACTGTCTGTTTTGTCTCCATGAGGAAAACCACATGTGGGGGAGTGCGTCGCACAAGTGCGCGCAAGGAATTTACTGCTCGCTTATTCCCCAGTCCGCGAGTTATAGCACAGAATCCTCATCTATTCCCGAAAGGGGATAGATTCCCCGCACCCTCAGATAAATTTTGTTTGGGCCCCGAACCTTTCTTCTGACCCGCATGCTGCGCGCTTGTACCATTACCCGGCTAAGCATTACCATTTACACTCTTAAGACCCTTTGCTTTCCCTCCACTTGAAGACCTCGCTGGGTTCATTTGAGATTTTGTTGCCAGCTTTCTTGGGTGATCAGCAGGGGGTGATGTCCCCTGTGGGTTCCTCCGCAGGTAATCTTGTCTCCACACCTCATTTCGTTTGCTTTTCCCCAGCACTCGGCCGAGTCTCCTGGGAATTGGCCTCCCCCACTATCGACGGGGTGATTGGTTGGGTCTGTGGTACCTTACCTCCAGCTGGAGATTCCATCCCAACCTGCTCCTGCCGCGCTTCCCTAGTCTCAACCATATCAGTTTCCATTATTATAGTTTCCTCCTCGTTTAGTGCGGCGAATCTCGATCCAGAAGCTTTCTCACTTGTTCCATTGGGCGGAGAGCTTCGTTGTTGTTTCTCGTCATTCCTCTTGTCAACTTGTTTGCCTCCCGTACTCTTTCCTCTTGGCTTCACAATCATCCACTCTCCATAGCGAGGCCGAGGGGGTTCTTCATCCTCTTTCCTTTTGTCAGGCTCGACATTGGGTTCCCCACTCTTGAAGAGCTTAGGGCATGTTACTTTCAGATGACCATATCTTCCACACTCGGGGCAAATGCGGTGCAATCCCTCATACTCTATATAGTATGTAATTCCTTCTATCTTATATTGCGAGAGTAGCGGCTTAGTGAGGTCCACTTCCACACAGACCCTTGCAAACCGACCACAATCCCCCACCTGTGTTGCCCGGTCAACACGAACTGGACGACCAATTGTCAGGGCAATACATTCCACTGCTTCCTTATTAATGAATTCACTAGGTAGCCCCGGTAGTCTCGCCCACACCATGGTTGAAGCGATCTCAGCCAGCTTGGGGTTGAAGTTACGGCGCCACGGTCTGACCATTATGTAATAATCGCCAATCATCCAGGTGTCAAGAACCAGTTGCTCCCAATAACTCGAGTTGTTGGGAGAGGTTCAATCGTGGATCATATACCACAACACTAACACGCCCCTTCAAATGAAAGCCACTCACAAGGGCTTGAAGTTTGCACAGATCTGAAGAAAAGAATACCATGTGCTTAACAAATGGGGGTCACCGGGAATCGAACACAAGACCTCTCGGTCACAGAAGGCTCTGATACCATGTTAAGAACCAGTTGCTCCCAATAACTCGAGTTGTTGGGAGAGGTTCAATCGTGGATCATATACCACAACACTAACACCAGGGCCCACCTATGGCCGCTTGTTCATAATCGAATTGACTGGTAAACCGAACGGCGTAGAAGCCAAAGGAGAGGCTCGAGATCTGCAGGCCTCCGCATTTTGCCCATAGCGTTTCCAATCTACGTGATATCACAGGATACGGGAACGTACGTCCCAGTACAGTAACAATCAGGGCAGAGCGCCACTTGCGTCTCCATCTTTGCTTCTCCATTGTCGTGTATGCAATCGTAGGACAGAGCGGGTCGTCATCTTCAAGGATTTCATCATCCAGTTCGTCTTCTCTCATAGCTGCAGCGACGTCTTCGGAATCTGATTCCGCGACATACCAATCATCTTCCACATGCAGATTGTTGAACAGCTTGCGAGCACCACTCCCCGTCCATGCTGTCTTCTTCTGCTCTCTCTGTGGGTAAGGATTTATTCCCGATGTAGGGGAATCAGCTTCCTCCATCAACTCTTCGTCACTAAACAACGGGTTATCCCTCATTGGCTTAGCTTTCTTTTTTGGTTGCTGCGTCTCCCGGTCTCCCTTCGCGTTTGGAGATGAGGTGGTCGGCGGAGCCCTCCGAACACCCCCGTTTGGTTCTTGGTGGCCGGCGTCCGGGGGAGAGCCCCCCGGCACAGCTCCGGTCATTGTTCACGAAAGGCGGCGCAAAAATCCGAGCAAGGGAAATCGTCGCGCTGCTCCGAGAATCTCGGAGTTAGGTTTTTTTGTTTGGTTTACGAAACGATAATGAATTATGAAATTAATAAATAGCTGTATGATGCCACTAGCTGAAAAATAATTAAGTTGCCTAATTATGATAAATTTCATAAATACCCGGTATAACCGTATAAGGCAGGCAAAATGATTAGAATTTTATAAATAAAAAAAAGCAAAATGATTAGAGAAAGAAATAGAAAGGAATGGAGGAGGTAGAAACTAGAAAATCGACTCCAGACAGCGAGCGTAGGGATGGCAATGGGTCGGGTTGGGTCGGGTTTTGCCAAACCCAAACCCAAACCCATGGGTTTATCCGTGAAAAAAACCCGGGGTAAAACCCTCTGGGTTTGAAAAACTCAAACCCAACCCAACCCGCTGGGTATCCGCGGGTTCATAGGTACCCACGGGTTTTTGTCTAAAAAATTCACAATAACATATTCCTATCAAAATTAAAGGCAAATATTAATCTCCCAATACAAATTATCCATATATAAAAGACCATTCTAGAAAATTCAAGCAAATCACAAATTATGCATAAATAACATGATTAATTGAAAGTTTCTTCCTTTCAATTAAGTTTTTCACTCTCCACTCGATAACATCAACTTCATACTACATAACTAGAAAGAAAAAATTAGGCATGTCTCCACAAACATAAATAAGATTAGTTGTTTAGAATATTAAATATGCCGAGAAAATTAATTATATGGGTGTGGGCGGGTACCCATGGGTCGGGTTTACCTAAACCCAAACCCAACCCAACCCGGTAAATAGTGAACGGGTTTAAACCCAAACCCGACCCAAAACCCGTGGGTTCGGGTTTTGTTGCCATCCCTAAGCGAGCGTGGACTCTCACTGTGTAAACATATACATTCTTACCGTGGGCCTGTTGGTTATCCGGCCCACAAAACTATTTACCGGCGGTAGGTGAGGCGGAAAACCACGCGCTCCCCGCCAAATTTCTGCCCCTTATAAATTCGGGCGACCAACTCCAACCCGCTCATCCTCCTCCACGTCCCAACTACAAATACCAAAATTTCCCCCAATACTTTTCGCTCTTTCATTATCCCATCTCCCACGTTTTCCCTCCCATCCCGCAAAAGCAGAAGAAGACGGGGCCAAAAAGATAAAGCGAAGTCACGCGCACCACCATGCCGGCTGACAGCTCATCCCTCCCCGGTAACGGCCAGACCGTCTGCGTCACCGGCGCCGGCGGCTTCATCGCCTCCTGGATCGTTAAACTTCTCCTCGACAGAGGCTACTCCGTCAAAGGAACTGTCAGGAATCCAGGTCTTATTTACTTTCCGTTTCTCCTGCTTAAAGAAATCGGAGATCGATTGCCCATTGATTTTACTTGGATTCGTTTCCGTTTTTTTTTTTCTGATTTTGGATGATCGCTTCACTTCAAGATGATCCGAAGAACGCTCACTTGAGAGCACTGGAAGGAGCTGACGAGCGGCTGACCCTGTGCAAAGCCGATCTTCTTGATTACCAGAGCCTCCGCGAAGCCATTAGCGGTTGCCAAGGCGTTTTCCACACTGCTTCCCCTGTCACCGATGATCCAGTACGCTCCCCTATCTCTCTTTCTCTCTCTCTCTCTCTCCACTCATTTCTTGTTTGGTTGCTGAGAAAAGTTGCTTTGAATTGAAAATTGAAATTGAGATCGGGATGGAAACTACTGTTTTGGGGGTTATGGGAAGCTTATACGATTTGTACTAAGCTCTTACTAATGACGGTGATTACAAAATACTAATTGCGTCAGTTTTCAATTAAACAAAAAGAAATTCCAGATTGTTCAAGTAAAGTGTAAACAGATTTCTTGGAAGATGTGATTGCAGATAAAAAAAAATACGAATTAGTGGTGGGGGCAGCCGGGCAGGGGGCCACCTACCCCTTTTCTTCTTAATCTATGAAGTAATGGTTGATTAGTATTTTCAAAAATGGGATTAATTAATTAATTAATTATACTACTGTACTGAAAAAAACATAAAAGGAACAAATGGTGGAGCCGGCGGTGGACGGGACCAAGTATGTCATAAACGCGGCAGCGGAAGCCAAAGTGCGGCGGGTTGTATTTACGTCCTCCATCGGCGCCGTCTACATGGACCCTAACCGGAGCCCGGAGACGGTGGTGGACGAATCTTGCTGGAGCGACCTGGAGTTCTGCAAGAACACCAAGGTGATGACCAATTCATCTCCTCGATCCCCTCTAATGTTTTCCTAACGAAAGTCAAAAGAAAGATATGGCACTGCTGATTGTGGGATGACGAACGGGCAGAACTGGTACTGCTACGGGAAGACGGTGGCGGAGCAGGCGGCGTGGGAGATGGCGGAGGAGAAAGGGGTGGACGTGGTGGCGGTGAACCCGGTTCTGGTGCTGGGCCCGTTGTTGCAATCAACCATTAATGCCAGCATAATCCATATCTTAAAGTACCTGACCGGATCCGCAAAGACGTACGCCAATTCGGTGCAGGCTTATGTCCACGTCAAAGACGTCGCGCTGGCACACATTCTGGTGTTCGAGAACCCCGCCGCCTCCGGCCGGTACCTCTGCGCCGAGAGCGTGCTCCACCGCGGCGAGGTTGTTGAAATCCTCGCCAAGTTGTTCCCCGACTACCCTGTCCCCACCAAGTAAGCATTTACTGATCTGTATTGTTGTTTACGAGTCTCAACCAGATTTTGTCATAATTTAATTAGGTGGTAATTTTTTTTTTTTTACCTTTTTAGGGATTAATTAATCTCATATGGTGTTTCTTGCTAATTAGATGATGTCTTTGGGGATTAGAGGGGAAATGGTGGGAAATTAAAGTTGGGGATCTTGTTTTGTGGGTGAGTCGACCAGAAAATATTATTTTTTGGGAGTAGTTAGGTGTCTATTGTCTAACCTAACCTCGATTCCTTTTTTTGTTTTTATGGTTAGATTTCTAACATCATTTTCTTACCAACCATGTTTAATTAATCCTAATCCATGATTGCTTTGATTGTTGGCCGGCTTGATTTAAAAATTAGGGCGTGATGAATGTTTATTCTCGCGCATTACCACTAATCCCAATGGCTTTATTTAGAAACCCTATTGACCTAAAAATGCTAATGATTTTGCAAAATCTGGACTTTTAGTTTAGCTTGCTTGTTCCTGTTCAATTACTCTAAATAGAAACAGGGGAACCCAATTGGAGAGTTAATAATTGACGCCCTAAATTTTTAAATTTATCGCCCTAAATTTACACTAGCAGACGATTTTGCCCTCAATTCCTCCGCCCTACCCCTGTCTTCGCCCCTTTCCTGGAAATACAGCCTGCCGCCCGAAAAATAGTCAGTGTAGTATAATCTAGGGCGGTAAATTTAAAAATTTAGGGCGTTAAATAGAAATTCAGTTGTTAAATAAGGAAGAAAGTACATCCAGGGAGTCTATATATCTAGTTACTCCTTATAGTATTAGTCTGATGGTTCTTATTATGTGTATACATATATCATCAAAATGGTGATGATGGTTGTTAAGAAATGATCGACAATAAATCGAATTGTCCAAAGAACATATACATCCATATGCTGTTCATGCTTGATGACTGGCTAAGTAATAATAGGCTGGATTAGTAGCTAGGTAGGTGGGCAAGCAAGCACAATAATGAATCAATTAATTAGTTAAGTCGCTAAAAGGGTTTTGGGTTGAAGATCTCTTATCAGATAAGTTTCAAACTTTATTTGAATTATCTCTTTATATATTTTTAAAATGGAAATGGGGACAAGGCAACGAACACAACAAAAGAACAAAGGCGAGAATAGACAAAATACCTACCACAACTTTTGTCCGGTTTTGGATACCGAGAGGAATTGGGTCCATAAGATGGGATTTGTTCCTTCAGTTGTCTCTGCCGGCCAGTGCCATGTTAATGAATTCTCTAGACTCTAGAGTTCTCCCCGCATTTATCCAGAATAACCATGGCGCATGCATGCAGGTGTTCGGATGAGAAGAACCCAAGAGCAAAACCGTACAAGTTCTCGTGCCAGAAACTGAAAGACCTTGGCCTGGAGTTCACTCCGGTGAAGCAGTGCCTCTATGAAACGGTCACGTCCCTCCAGGAGAAGGGCCACCTTGCCCTTCCTGCCCCCAAGCTTCAAGATCAGGAACCCGTTAAAATCCAGTCTTCTTGATAACCACAAACAACACACACCTCCACAGCACACAGCGTGGGAGAGTGGTAAATATCCATCTCTTCTTCATCCGCAACCAAGTGGACCCTCAATTGCTCGTTCAATCGTCTTCTAGTTAGAGAATGTAAAGCCGACTACCAACCAGGAAAGAGGCTGTAATGCTGCAGAGCTAGCTGATTAAACGAAGCCTTCTCTCTTCTTTTGTATTCTATTCATATCTCATCAATTTACATGTTGATTTGATATATCCAAGTGTTGTAATGCATACTTAGGGGTGGTTTGGAAGTTGCGAATGTTAAATCGTTGCATGTAATGAATCACTATAATATATATGCATGTATTGATACAATAGATGCATTTTAACAATACATTTTAGGGTTTAGGGTTTAGATTTTAACAATACATTGTTTGGTTGTTGAGATTTTCCTTTATGCATTGATTTACATAAAATTACTTTTATGGGAAAATGTCACATTTACCCTCAACTTTTAGAATAAGACAAAAAATATTGGGGATATAAATGAAAAGAAAAAGTTGACACAAATCTAAAACCAACAATCACAACAATCTCAATTTTTAGTTGAGATTGTATAATGCATAATTTTTTGTGATTGATGGTGGGACATACCTAAAACAATGCATGCATTGTTTAACACTTTGACACTTCCAAACATTGTATTGTGCACAATACATGTATTCAACAAACATAACTCTAACAATCACAACTTCCAAACGACCCCTTAATCCTCATCTCTTTTGATCCTGTGTAGTTATAAACCCTCTACTGCCAATTTAAGGGTGTCTCATCATTTTTAACTCCATTATTATTTCACTCTTCGGACATGTTACAGTGACCATAGTTACTAAAGGTAAATTGGGTATGGAAAAATAAATGATATTAATTAATTTTCTTAATAAATTATTTTTTAGATAGTTACAAAAATCTATTAATTACAATTCTTTCTCTTTTCCAGTCAGATCTCATTTCCTTATTTTTCTCAATCTTTTTGCAAAATAAAAAAATGAAATCACTACCAATTCATTAGACAACCACTACCAGTTTGAAAAACATCAATACCATTGCAGAAATAAATCAATACCATTACAAGAAAATTACCAATATAAACAATCTACCATATAAATCTATATCATTTCAAAAAAAAAACTAATACTATTGCATATTTAATCAATACCAATACATGCAAATTAATACCATTACATGATAATCAATAGCATTGCGACATAAACAATACCAATGCAACAAAATCAATACAAATCCATAAAAATACTGCTACTTATTAACCAATACCAATACATGCAAATCAATACCAATATAATTACGTCACTACCAAACAACAATATTGATAACGATGTAATTGCACATGTTTGCACCCCTAGTTCTTATTCGTTTGTGGGGCATAGTCGTGTATTTTTGGCCTATTTTACGCCGGGTTGTGCTACTTTGTCATATTTCATGTCCCATACGTCGAAGGAAAGGCTAAGCTCGAGTTTCGGGGCATTCGGAAGTCATTCGGTCGAGCTGGAGCCAAAACACGGGTGCGCCTAAATCAAAGCACGGTCGTGTTCCTGGACCGTGTTTTACTGCCGAGACTTGATCCAAGATTGTCCTGCGCTGGCCAAAACACGGGCGGGATTGACTCGAAACACGGTCGTGTCCAACATCAGGCACGACCGTGTTTTCCCCAAGGAGCGGCCGTGTTTTTAACACGTGGCAAGGGCACGGGCGGGCAGCAGCAAGGGCATGGGCGGGCAGCAGCAAAGCACGGCCGTGCCCTCGACCGTGTTTTGCCCAGTGATGCCCTTTTAGGCAGATTTGAGCCAAAAGAGAATGGGTTCCGATTTTTAGAGAGAGAGAGAGCAATACCTAGGAGAGAAAGTGACGAAACTGAGTCTTCAAGTGTCTTTGATCGATCTCCATCACCACGGGAGCCCGGCTTGAGCTTGGAGAAGATCCGATTGAGCGCCAGAAGCAGATTATCATCCTTCACAGTATGGTTTCCGCATCTGAGCTAGATTTTCCATCTCTCTCTATGGAGTAGTTTTCCCATTCATCTGGGTATGGAGAACCCTAGATTTGTATGTTAGATCTGATTGTATGAACCCAAGTACAGATTTTATGATTTGATTATATTCAATTGAGGCTTGAATGATTGAATGACTTGAATCCTAATCAAATTCCTGTTATTTCTGCTTTAGCCTAGAAAGAGAATGTCTGCCTAGGTTAATAGAGCACCCTTAATTGAAGGTAGTGAATGGGCGACTTTAGTCGAGGAGCCAGTTCACTATTCTGTACCGAAGTTACTTCGGTAGTGGAGGTTTTGTTCATTAGGGCCTCAATCTGTTTACTTCGGTGGAGGTTAGTCGCCCGCTAAAGACTCAGATTGAGAGGGTCTGGAGATCTTTAGTCGAGACTTCAGACTGTTTAAGAACCTCTCGCAGTATAACTATCATAGAAACTGAACTTGGTAAATTGAAATCCGGCTTAACTGCAGTCTAGGGGGAACCAAATTCGGGTGACCTCTCTCGACTTGAAAACAACCGTTTAATTGCTTGCTTTACTTGTTTGCTTGTTTGAACTTGCACTAAAGTTTCACCGCTAGATAATAAGAATTCACTGAGTAGTCATCACATCTAGGACCCGGGTTGACATTAAAACCCAAACCCGCTATACTACGCTTTAGGAATGGTTACACTTGGCCATTTTCTAGAGTGACAGTAGGAGTGAGTCAAGTTTTTGGCGCCGTTGCTGGGGACGGCTAGGTTGTTGAAGAAACGTGAATTCTGATAATTTTGCTTTTCTTTTCGCATTGTTTGCTTTGTCCCACTTGTGCCTTCACGGGTTTGCTTGCTTGACTGTGTGCAGATAGTGCATGACCCGTAGCCAGTCGGGAGGTTTACTGCCGTTGAATCCGGAGCTTGAACGCACCTGTCGCCAACTCAGGAGACAACAGCGAGCTAGACTGGCTACGGAGGAGCGCATAGACGGCCATTTGAGCAGCGAGTTCGAGGACGAGTACGAGATGGAAGGAGATTACAATCCACACCAGGGGAATCCTCACCAGGTTCCCCCGGCGAATCAGGTCTTGGGGAACAACCCCATACCCCAGGCAGATGGGGTTCATCATCATCCACCGCCGCCGGGTCCCACCTTGGAGTACTACTACACTCCACGGATTGCTGACATCCTCCCGGTCATCCTCTACCCGCCTTCCAGCGAACAACTTCGAGATCAAGCCATGGTGGATTCAACTCATTACATCCTCTATCCAGTTCCATGGCTTGAAGGATGAGGAGGCAAGGGTGCATCTTTCCCATTTTCTGCAGCTGATGAACGGGTTCAAACTAAACGGTGTCCCTGATGACGCAATCTGCCTTCACCTCTTTCCCCATTCTCTGGCGGGGAATGCTAAGAGGTGGTTGGAGACCCAGCCCCCATTGTCCATCACTTCTTGAAACGATCTGGCCGACAAGTTCGTGCACGGGTACTATCCAGCATCGAAGACCACAGAGATCCAGCGGGAGATCACTCACTTCCGCCAAGAGCCAGACGAGTCACTTCGTGATGCATGGGAGCGGTACATGGGATATTTCTGGCAGTGTCCCCATCATGGCTTCAGTGATGCATTCATAGTGGAAAACTTCTACAGCGCCCTCTCTCCGGACAGCTAGAGGGTGATTGAGTCTCTATGCCCAGGAGGGGATATTCTTACTAAGACTCCACCCGAACTGAACCAGATGATCAGTACCTTGGCTGCCAGAGATCATTCCTGGGGGCAGAGCAGCAGAGGCAGAAATTCCCGGGACCGTGATGTGCACGCCATGGAGGCCAGGTCCGGGCTCGAGCAGCAGGTAGCCGAGTTAGTGTAGACATTGAAGCAGCCCAACAGTCTTATTCCGGGCAGAGGTTTGGCTACACCTCCAGTAGCTCAATGTCAGTGGTGTGAGAGCTCAAATCATCTGGTGAAAGACTGCCAGACTATGAGGGAGTCTTCTACTCCCCAAGAGCAGTTGGACTTCATCGCCAATGCTCGGCGCCTCGACCCGTACAGCAATACATATAATGAGGGGTGGCGCCAGCATCCCAATTTCTCTTGGAGTAGCAACACCACTAAACCACCTGGTTTCCCAGCACCAACTAGTGGTTTTCAGCAGAGGCAGCCTTTCCAGGCTCGACAGGGGCCACCCCCACAGCAGCAGCCCTACCAGCCTAGGCAGGGGCAACCATTCCAGCAGCCCCAGCGTCAGTATGCCGAGCCAGCAGCAGCTCCGGCTCCAGATAATCAGATGACGGAGCTGAAAAACATTCTAGCGGCATTCATGACTACCACCCAGGCAATTGTCACCAGGCTGGACCAGAGCATAGCCTCACTGGAGGCAGGTCAGAGGAACCAAGGTGCCATTTTGCAAGATTTGTAGAATCAGATGGGTAGCATGGCTCGCCAAAACACTACCAGGGCACTGGGGACTCTGCCTGCCACCAATATTCTGAATCCTCGTGAGCCTCACCAGCACCAGCAGCTAGATGCCATCACTACCAGGAGTGGCAAGACCACATCTGCTGCTCCTGCCCGACCCAGTCAAGATGAGCCACTACCTGCTTCAACACTTCTGGCTGATAATGCAGAAGTGGGGGGAGACAAAGAAGCACCTGCCTCAAGCCATAGCCAGTGGTTAAGGAGCATGTACTCCAACTTCCTTTCCCCACTCGCCTACATAAAGACAGGCTGGAGACTGAGTTTGCCAAGTTCATGGCAATGTTGAAGCAGGTCAACATCAGCATGTCATTCGTGGAGGCACTGTCAAAGATGCCCAAGTACGCCAAGTTCATGAAAGACCTCCTCACCAACAAGAAGAAACTTGGGGATCTTTCGACAGTGATGCTGAGCGAGTAGTGTTCTGCTATCCTGCAGAACAAGCTGCCCGAGAAGCGCAAAGACCCAGGGAGTTTCACTATCCCTCTTGTTATTGGCAGCATGCATGTAGGAAATTCCTTGGCGGATCTAGGCGCTAGCATAAATGTCCTGCCCTAGAAATTGTTTAAAAAGCTAGACCTAGGTGAACCTAGAGCTACTAGGATGAGCATTCAGTTAGTTGATCGTTCCATCGTGCACCGTAGGGGTATCATTGAGGATCTGCTTGTTAATGTAGGTGCTTCACATATCCTATTGACTTTGTTATTTTGGATATAAATGAGGATGTGGATGTACCTTTGATTTTGGGTAGACCGTTTCTCGCCACCGCCAAGGCGCTTATTGATGTGCATAGTGGTAAATTGATCATGCGTGCTGGTGATGAACAGGCTACTTTTTCTGTGTCTGAGAATGGGAAACACTCCCATTTGCATGATGACATAGATTACTATGATGTGCTAGCTGATTTTGAGACCGCACTCGCTATAACGAGTGCGGGTACTGACGATGTTCTTGAGCGCTGTATTTTGCTAGGTGAGCAGGCATCTCAGGAGCCGCAGATGGCTGAACAGTTGGCCGCGCTGGAGAGTGGCACATCCCTGGAGGGCGACCGGCTGTTCAAACCGATCTCATCCTCACACCGCATCACTACCTCCTTGGAGGAACCACCAGAGCTGGAGCTTAAGCCCCTCCCTCCTCACTTGGAGTATGCATTTCTCCGGGAGGGGAATAAGCTTCCAGTCATCATCAGCTCGTCCCTCACACCCGAGCAGAAGGACAGACTGGTGGCCTTGTTGAAGCGGCACGAGTGTGCTCTAGCGTGGAAGATCACAGATATCCGGGGGATCAGCCCCTCCTTCTGCTCCCACCGGATACTGATGGAGAATGAGATGCGGCTAGTGAGACAGCCACAGAGAAGACTGACACCAAACCAGGAGGCTGTGGTTCGGGCAGAGATCGTGAAGCTGCTGGACGCGGGGATCATCTTCGCCATTTCCGACAGCGAGTGGGTCAGTCCCACCCAAGTGGTACCCAAAAAGGGTGGGATGACTGTGGTGCCTAACGAGAAGAATGAGCTCATCCCGATGCGCACGGTGACTGGGTACCGTGTCTGCACTGATTACCGGCGTCTCAACGACGCCACTCGAAAGGACCACTTCCCGCTGTCGTTCATTGACCAGATGATGGAGAGACTGGTGGGGCACGAGTTCTACTATTACCTGGATGGGATGTCCGGGTACTTTCAGATACCCATTTCACCGGAGGACCAGGCAAAGACCACTTTCACCTGTCCCTTCGACACATTTGCCTACCGGAGGATCCCGTTCGGGCTATGTAACGCCCCCGCCACTTTTCATCGATGCATGCTCGCCATCTTTGACCGTCTGGTCGGCGAGATTATGGAGGTGTTTATAGACGACTTCTCGGTTAACGGAGACTCATTCTCTCACTGTCTCCATAACCTGGAACTCGTCCTTAAACGGTGTGAAGAAACAAACCTGGCACTGAGTTGGGAGAAGTGCCACTTCATGGTTCGTGAAGGCATAGTTCTGGGGAATAAGATCTCCAAGATGGGGATTGAGGTGGACAGAGCAAAGATCGAGACTATCAGCAAGCTGCCTCCTCCTACATATGTTAAGGGGATCGGGAGTTTTTTAGGCCATGCAGGGTTCTACAGGCGGTTCATCAAGGATTTTTCGAAGATCGCCCTGCCCCTGACTAAGCTTCTTGAGAAGGATGCCCCCTTCCAGTTCACTGATGCATGCACAGCGACCTTCACGACCTTGAAGGAGAAGCTCACTCAAGCTCCTATCATGGTTGTTCCTGACTGGTCCCTGCCATTTGAGCTGATGTGCGATGCCAGTGACTTTGCTGTTGGAGCTGTATTGGGGCAGAGGCGAGATCAGCACTTCCAACCTATCTACTACGCCTCAAAGACCCTGAATGATGCCCAGGAGAACTACACCACCACGGAGAAGGAGCTGCTCGGGGTGGTGTTTGCCTTCGATAAATTTCGTCCTTATCTGGTCTTGTCCCATGTGACCATGTATACAGATCACTCCGCGATTCGATACCTGATGAGTAAGGCCGACGCTAAGCCTAGGCTCATACGATGGATCTTACTATTGAAGGAGTTAGACATCGAGATTCGGGACAAGAAAGGAGCGGAGAATATTGCAGTCGATCACCTCTCCCGGTTGGACGCACCTCCTACGGACAACCTCGAGGAGGAGATCAAAGACTCCTTCCCGGATGAGAGACTGATGATGATGTACTTGGTGGAGAGTGTCACCCCTTGGTACTCCGATTTTGCGAACTATCTGGTGGGCCAGCAGCTGCCCAAGGGGATGACAACCCACGCCAAGAGAAAATTTTCCTCCGACCTGAAGCACTACTCTTGGGATGACCCTCATCTCTTCAGTATCGGAGCCAACGGGATAATCCGTCACTGTGTTATGGAGAGTGAGATGGAGGGCATTCTATCTCACTGTCATGAAGGACCTACTGCGGTCACCACGGAGGAAACCGCACAGCGAGGAAGGTGCTACAGTCGGGCTTCTACTGGGCTACGCTCTTCAAGGACGCAGACACCTTTGCACGCAGGTGCGACCGATGTCAGAGGTCAGGTAACATCTCTACCCGTGATGAGAAGACCCAGAATGTGTTTATAACCTGTGAGATTTTTGATGTCTTGGGTATCGACTTCATGGCCCCTTCCCTCCATCTTTTGGTAATACCTATATCCTTGTTGCTGTTGACTACGTCTCTAGGTGGGCTGAGGCGCAAGCTTTGCCCACTAATGATGCTAGACGTGTTTGTGGTTTTCTGAAGCAGCTATTCTCCCGGTTCGGGACACCTAGAGCCATCATAAGCGATCGAGGCACCCATTTCCAGGGCCAGTTCGATAAGTTATTGTCTCGCTATGGTGTAACTCATAAGGTGTCCGTGGCCTACCACCCTCAAACAAGTGGCCAGGTCGAGCTGACGAACCGGGAGCTCAAGCGTATCATGGAGAAGACGGTGGATCAATCCTGCAAGGATTGGTCCACCAAGCTCGATGATGCTCTATGGGCATACCGCACTGCCTACAAGACGCCCATTGGTACTTCACCGTACCGGTTTGTCTATGGAAAGGCCTGCCATTTGCCCGTGGAGCTAGAGCACAAGGCCTTTTGGGCCCTTAAGCTGCCAAACTTGGATGTTAGTGTTGTAGGTGTTGAGCGCAAAATGCAGATGCTGGAGCTGGAGGAGTGGCGTTATCACGCCTATGAGAACACCAAGCTATACAAGGAGCGCACTAAGCGCCTGCACGACGCACGGTTGCGGGGTCCGAAAGAGTTCCAGGTTAGTGATCGAGTTCTCCTTTATAACTCTCGCCTGAAGCTCTTTCCCGGAAAACTCCGTTCCCGGTGGTCTGGACTGTACACGGTCACACAAGTGTTCCCTTATG